ATATATATATATATATATATATATATACTGTGTATATATATATTTATTTATATTTACATTATGCCTAAGTATGTATTAAGTAAAATAAATAAAATTTTACGAAAATATGGAAGAATTATAGGAAGAAGTATAGGAAAGGAATTTGAAGCGGCTGAAATTTAATATAAACTGCAAAAAAAAATAAAATAAAATAAATTATCATTTTGTCATTGTTGCATCACATTTTTGTAAAAATTTGTTGGCACTAATCATCAGGTCAAGGTGCTGGCAGCCTACATGTTTCATATATTCAACATCGAATTCCATCGTTTACAGGAACGTTGTTACCAACTTGTCTTTATGTAATGTATACTGTACATTATGCAGTAATCCAGAACAATAAAACAATAAAACACTAATTCAACACTAGAATTTTAATACAGGACAAAGCAGACATTAAGACAATGAATATAATTGGCTAATATGCCCATTGATGGTACAACATCACGTAATGCCACAATGTGATTCGTTAGGACATCCATGAGTGGTATGACATCATATATTGTCACAATGTGATTTGCTAGGACATCCATGAATGGGTGTGACATCATACAATGTCACAATGTGATTTGCTAGGACATCCATGAATGAATGATATGACATAATACAAAGCCATAATTTGATTCGCTAGGACATCCATGAATGGTACGACATTGTCACAAGATCACTGAATATGTTATCACATTGTACTAAGCCACATTGTCTAAAACACTGTTACACAGTGCATTTATCTATCTCATGCTGGCAGCCTATACATGCTATTTTATCCCTCAAGTATAATCCTGAATTCATCTGTAGCAACACAATGTTTATATTTTGCAACATCAGTAGGAAAAACATATGAAGCTTTAGTGACTGACTCTGTATCTCTTCTGTACTGAACAACTGTCCTGCATAACTAACTATAGTGTTTTTAATACAATAGTAGAAAATTTGTGCCGGATCTCAATGACAACTACACCCATTTTATGTGTGTGGTAAGTTATACTAATACAAAAGAAATGACACATTATAAGAGATAATTTTGGCTGGGTGGATTTTTTGTTTACAAATAACATTAGTTGCTTTATTTTTAACATTAATAAGTCTCTACACGAACATCTCAAATACAAGACTAGTATAAATGACCTTTGACCATGATCAATGTAAAGCATTGGCCAATAATAGCTTTTGGTTTTGTTGTCTGCTTAGCCAATTGTAGAACTACAATATGAAGGCCGTATATATGTATTGTGAATACATGTTATTATTAGTACACCAGACAATATTTTCAGACTGACACCAGGTCAATAGTTAACCTAAACATGTCAATAGTTAACCCAAACAGGTCAATAATTAATCTAACCTGGTCAATAATTAATCTAACCTGGTCAACAGTTAACATCAGTGACTTAAAATTAACTACAAAACCATCATTTGTTCAGTCAAGTATTACAAGGACATTTTTCGAGAATTTTGTTTCTCATGTCACATATAGAAAAAAATATTGACATTAATGCCAAAATAAATACAAAGGATGGACTGGGTATGTACTGCTCATTAGCATATTAAACAAAGCACACAAGTATGACATCATCTATACACTTCTTTACCTTGCAACACCATAAGCAGCACAAATTTGGACTAAACTATTATTCTCCAATTAGTTGTTTTCATTCTCTTAAGGGAAACTTCTTTCAGGGGCTTAAAACAAACATGATTTTGAAGCCATTTCAGTTTTCGTGATGATTTTTTACATTCTCAAGAATGGTTCTATTTCTCATTTACATTTCGTTTGACCAAAGGTGGGCACTTCCTTAAGGATGCAGAACGATGTTTAACGGAAAGTGTAGCGTACATATGGCACCTCGACGTCTTCTCCGTCCTTGTCATTGCAACAAAGTTCCAAGACTAGATGTCGTACATGTTTCGGGATTTTCTTTTTTGATACTTTCGCCACGACTTCTGATATTCTAAAAGTATTGAGACAAAACCAATTATTATTGCTATGGCGATGAGGACAAATAGCTCTTATAGTTTTTATTTTTCTATACAACTATTTTTTGCATGCAATTAGTGCAGCCTTTATGGTCATGGTCCTCTAGTCAGGGTTCAAACTGGACAGAATAAAAATGGCACAATCGCCATGATGGTCGAAGGAGTCTTCTCGGATAAGAATTATAAACCATAGAACTATAAAGAACCCAGTACATCCTTCGAGACGAGTAGGGGGTACCCCAGTGTACTGGAACAGACAGCCCCCATGGTGGACGACAAGAGTTGCTGGGTAGTACAGACACAAAGGGACCCTTAGGGGCGAAGAAAGTCATTGATCGAGTTCTGGATGGATATGGCACTATATAAAACTACAATTATTAATTATTAAATTATTACCTAATGATAAAACTTAAAATATTGAATATAATAATGATTTTGAATAATTAATTAGAAATAGCCTGAACTAAGAATATTGATATCAGGTCTATACTCACTTCATAGCAAGACGCTCCTTCTGTTTAGCCGGAGACATAAAAAAGGAGTAGATCATACAGACTCCTTGTGATAACATAGTAATTTCAAGTTTCTCTTCATTTTGAAAGTAATCTAGGAGGTCCTTTAAGGTCATCTCGCTCCCTCCTGCCTTTCTGCCATCAATCTCAAAACGGTCCCAGAGTGTAAAGGGTTTGTCATAATACTGGTGTTGGAAATAAAAAAGTTGAAAAAAATCAATAATATTTTATGCCGAAAAATAAGTTTTCTTACATGATATTAAAAAAAATTTCCAAAATTAGACAATTAAAAAAATTTAATTCAGTTTCTTGTTTTGGTGCTGAAATTGGTTCTGAGAATGCAAAGAATGGGAGGGCTAGGTTGGCAAAGCCATTTTTGTAGCTCTCCAGCTTCTTGTTACCATTAGCCATCTTGTAGAGCTCAAGGCACACCAGGCCTACAACCATCGCAGTAGTCGTTGCAATAGCAGGAATAATCTTGCCTGCAATTAGCTTGCTCTGTTGTAAAGGAAGAGATCATTTTTAGGGATAGTTGTAAAAAAAAAAAATAATCAGTTGTAGCACAACTGCTCAGTAGTAATTTATTTTGAAAATTATTTTTAATTATTTCTAATTATTTTCAATGTATTATTTTATTTCGTCATTTTATATAGTCATATTTCATTGTAATAATCTTTTTCATATCAATATTATTATAGTAAAAGTAGTAGTAGTATTAGCAGTAGTATTTTTTATGCAGACTTGTGTTTACCTTATGTCTATCTGCTGGTGGAATTTCATAATTCTCTGCTCTTAGATTTGAAGAGGCCACGATGAAATCCATGTGGAAGTTAGTATCATCATCCTAGAGGGAAAAAAAAAAACATGAACTTATTAAAAAGTACGTAACATCTTATGCAGCGACTTTGGGATATCTAGCAAAGTTGACTGTATATTTCTCTCAATGTTTATAAGGTTTATTAGAGGTTAAAAGGTGACTTTTGTAATCATCAATGTGGCTTGTGACCAGGTCTCTCGATGAGGCTGTGAGGTTAAGAGATGATTTTTGTAATCAACAAGGCTTTGTAATGAAGTCTTTTTACGAGGCTTGGAGGTTGGGCAGATGAATTTTGTAATCATCAATGCTTTGTAACAAAGTCTCAAAAGGTTTGGGAGTTGAATCTTTGAGGCTTTCAAACCAAGTCTATCTATGAGGCTGACAGGTTAAGAGTTGATCGTGACTACCATCAAGGGTTTGAAATCAAGTATCTTTATGAGACTTGGAGAAGTAAAGCTGATCATGTATGATTATTTAGACTTTCTACTTAGCTCTCTCAGAAGTGAAGTGCGAATTATTTATGACTATTGAGCTCTATAATCTATAAGAGTTAGAAAGTGGAAATCTGTGCATTTATAACCACCACGACTTCATAATATTAAATTCGCTATATGCGGCATCCAGAGTAACAATGAAGATGTGTTGATGAATACCTGTTAGTAGGAACAGGTAAACCTAATGTTCCTTCAGTCACATTTGTAATGTTGCAATATATAAAAGCACAGCTAACCTTTTCAAAGTCTAGTGGTTTGACTTTGAAGTTCTGAAAGGAACTAGGTTGTGGTAAATTTTTCATGACTGACTCTAGCGTATCTTCTTCTACGGAGGCTTGGGCAGACATCTGAGCTTCAGCGTCAGTTACATCAATTTTAACACCTGAGGTAACGGAATGATTAGATACAAGTTATAGTATATAATATTAACAGAAAACACATGGATGCCAATTTACAACCAAACACTCCAAAATATAATCACAATTGTTGTCAAAGTACAATATTTGATATCCTAATATTAAAAGATAATATATTTAAATAAATATGGCATGCTTGAATTTTGTTTGATGTCAATAACTTTAGAATGTTCTATTAGGGCAAGAGAGGTGATCTTTCATTACACAGGACTAGCCAATATAGAATTTACTTGGACACAGACAGTTGTCCATGTGGTTGCAGACAAAATTATACAACAGTTTATTAAGATATTTATGAAGATTTGGTAACACATCCACAAATAAATGTACAAAAAAAAAAGACAAATCCAGAATTGAGACCAGGATAATCCAAAAAGATGACTTAATCCGTAATTGACATTGGCATCTCCTTATTTGTTCATTTTGATTCTTCTTTTCTATTGAGCACTTTACAACAATCTCTGAAGGCTTCTATAGTACAAAACAAATTGTGGTTACCAGACTTAGGAGTGAATGCAGGAATGGTTATGGTTTCCATAATACTCCGGATGAATGCTCGGTCCCTGCTTCCTTTAATTCCATATACTTCTGCCTTGAGGTTGGCAGCAGCACATACATAATCCATGTGCATTTCCTACAGGATCAATAATGAAATTAGGTTCCACATCAGTGATGTATGTTACAGTTTTCAAATGGGAGTTGGGACTAATATCAAATTGGAAGGGGGGGAACTAAATGGGAGGAGAAACTAATTTAGGGGAGGGGAAACTGAGCTTGGTCTCAAAATAAGGTGATATGAGATTATTAGTAAC